CCGCTGGGCCTGGGGGGACACAGGGACACAGGGACACGTCACAGCCAGCCCAGGGACAGAGCACAATCCCCGGGACAGCTCACTGAAAACACCCAAAAAACAGCGTAATTGTCTGAATGTTCCTTCTGCGTGTATATATAAATACATACTGTACGTGTACATAAAATAGCTAAAATCAACCTGCATTTTAGAGATTATAGCTAAATTTGATTATCAATTAATACATAATAAATTCATTTTATTTCTATAGAATTTATTATTAAACAGCTATTATGTGATATTTTAAAACACTGTCAAAATTATTTATAATATTAAATAGCTGTTATGTGACATTTTAAAAATAATGTTTAAAATTATACTTATTATGCATAATATATATACACAGTATATTCAATATTAATGATATATCTTCACTATTAATTATATAGTATATTCAATATTAATTATATAGCATATTCAATATTAATTATATATCTTCACTATTAATAATATAGTATATTCAATATTAATGATATATCTTCACTATTAATTATATAGTATATTCAATATTAATTATATAGCATATTCAATATTAATGATATATCTTCACTATTAATAATATAGTATATTCAATATTAATGATATATCTTCACTATTATATAGTATATTCAATATTAATTATATTCAATAGTATATAGTATATATAGCACATTCAATATATAGTATATAGTATATTCATTATTAATTATATAGTGTATTCAATATTAATTATATATATAATGTAATTATATATATAATTTATATATATATATGCACACATACACACACCTCCTTTTTTTTTCCTCTTGTACAGAATTTATATATATATATATATAATATAATCAATATAGGTAATTATTATATATATAGATAATTTTTATATATATATATATATATATATACACACACACCCTTTTTTTTCTACCTTGTACAGAATGTGTTAATTTAGTCTGGCCTCACGAGAGGATGCTTTCACTTTGCATAAACACAACTGAAAACTACAACTTACCAGCACAGACAGTTTAACAGCTGCTAAATTTGACTAAAAGCGTTTAATTTTATCTAGGTTGAAACCTCATTTATAAAAACCACGAGGCAGCACAATTCTGCTGTCAGAGAAGGGGCAGAGAAGCCATTTTTAGTTCCAGTGGGTCAGAGCCATCATTATATGCCAAGAGCTGACACTTGCAGGGACATCTACAGAGTGACAAAGGTGGTTCTCAACCTTGTTCCTTAATCCAGGACAGAGTCACAATTCACAGATTTATAGACTTGATAAAGACTTAATTTGTGTGAAACTACTGCAAGCAGACACACAACTGGATATAAACTCCATGCAGAGAAAACAACCCCTGATTGCCCACCAAAATGGAAGAATGGATCAAACTGGATCCTGCAGAAGCCTGTTCTGAGTCAGAATTATTCAAATAATTTCCATGAATGACTTGAAGGATGGGAGAGAATATCCACAGCAAATACCACTAAACTGGGAAGGGCTGCTTGAAGCAAAGAGCTGGAAACCCACTCCTGGTTACAAATTCAGAGAAATTATCTAAAATAAACCACATGTGATTCACTGAGGGCAAATGCAAGAAGCAAAGGCAGTGCCCAGAGAAGAGAAGGAAGGGGTAACTGAGCAGTTGTGCTGCTGCCTCTGGAAGTTCTGCCCAGAGGATGTGGAGGTTGTGATGGATCCAAAAATGAGCATGAATCAGCAGGCTGTACCACTGCTGGGAACTAATTATTTAATAAAAAATACTAAAGATTAAGCCCACAGGGCTTTCTAACCAGGATGGCTGTGCAAGAGGAGAGACAATCCTGCCACTCTGCCCACGTGTCAGCTGAAGAGCTGCCCCCAGCTTTGGGCAGAAATTCCCATAAATTTGTGCACCAAATTGTGAGGAAAACAATAAAAACATTACAAGATCAAAACCTCCACAGTGCAGGTGGCAAAGCTCAATCCACAGCCACTTTCTGCTGGGCCTGGGAGTGAACTGGACATGGTATTTCTGGAGCACGACTTGGCCATGACTCAGCTGTCTCTGGAATGACTGGAGGAGGGCTCAGAAATCCCCTGCTCTCTGCTGCTTTCATCCCTGGAACTGCTCTTCTGAACCATCTCTGATTACCAAATGTATTTGATGATGACAACAACAAAGATCTAACACAGAATTTACAGCCAATTCTTCAAGCACTGAGTGCACAAGGCAGCATCCATCACGAGAATCTTCAGCAACTTCCAAATCACTGAAGATCTTGCAAGTAATCACTGCAGAGCTCTCCCAGAAATACCCCAGATAAAACTGCAGATAAGTGATCAGTTAAAGCTGACTCAGCTGAGGAAGAATCTATTTTGCTCAGAAAAATGCTGCTTTTGGAGCTTCTCTTTAAAACATCCGCAGAGTGAAAACCCCCCAGCCCTTGTGGGAAAGTTAGACTTGAAACACTTTGTCTCAAAGGTAAGTGGATTTTTGCCATTATGGTTCTGCATGCACAAATAAAGACCCTTATTTCCTTCATTTCTCACTATTTCCCCTCCAACTGACAGTTTATGGTACTCCTAAGAGAAAATAAAAAGAATTAAACATGGCCCTTCTTCATGCAGGCAATAAACTGCATTTCCATTGAATGAATTCTGCATTAGGGAGAGGAGTATAAAAAATAGTAATAAAGAAAACAAAACAGGAAGAGACAGGGCATTCATCCCATGTATGCCTGGGATGAATGTGGTTTTCCCTTGAGCAGCAGCAATGAGTTCTTGGGGCTTTGCTAATTCCTGTCTCAGAGTTAAGGTTTCCTGATACTTCACTTCTCAGGGCTTCTTTCTCCTGCTCAGACTGTGCCACACTGACCTACCTGGCCTTGAGTTCACCTCAGGTTGGTTGGCTTAAGAAAACTCACGAGTTCAGCATCTTCCCTCCCCAGTGACAGCAAAGAAAAAATCTTCCAACCCGTTACCACTTTTCCCCTTTGTTTTTCCAACAGCCTTTACAGCCCTGCTGTCCTGCTCTTCCTTCCTGTTGCTTTCTCCATCTTTACAAGCCAAATAAGAGCAGAAAAGAGCCGACTGACCTTTTTGGAGAGGGGCATGATGGTGCTGGGTCGGACGAGGCGCCGCTTCTTGCAGCTGAGGACGGGGCGGGTGCGAGCGGCCACGCACGTCCCGTCCGCGGGCACCAGCGACAGGCGCTGCCTCTTGTGGAGCAGCTCCTCGGCCTCCTGGCCATCTCCCTGAGCGTGTTCTGCCAGGCCAGGCTGCAGACTGCCCCGCAGGACAGGAGAACAGGAAAACCCCAGTTATTCACACAGCAGGTTCGTGGTTTGCACCTAAGCTGAGTTTAGAGCTCTGCAGTTCATGGCACAACAGGATTTATTAAACCAACTCCATTTTTTGCTTTTACTTCTGTTACCTTCCACTCTCCCACAACTGAACCTTTGACCAAATACCTTTGGAAGCTCTGAACAAAAAAAAACCAGCACTGAAAGCCACAGAGCAAAAGCCACTCTAGACCAGAACAGCTTTAACCCTAGAATACAGCTTCCTCCAGAATGAGAATTTGGGGAATCTTTAGACAAGAGGTTTTCTGAGTCTAAATGCCAGAGAACATATAATTTTGTAGAAAAAATATTTAACCCTGATGTAAACTTGGTTCTGCTGGATATTTGAGATCTCTACCTGTGCCAGCTCCCAGCAGTGACCCCAGAAAGGTGCAGAGTGAACATCAACCTCTGCGAGGCACAAAGGCTGCAGCAGCCCTGGCATCAATGCCCCGTGCCCCGAGCAGATCCCAGCGCAGCAGCACCTCATCTACAGAACCTTTTCATGTCTCTTCTGCAAGTGTTTCATTTCTAAAAATGCAAAACATTAAAGCCCTGTGGTCCAAGGCTGTGCAGTTCAAAGGCTGCAGGGATACAAAGGGCTCTGTTACAGCCTGCAGTGTTCCAGCTGCAGCCACGGGCTCCTTGATCTGCTCGCATTACATCGGTGCAGGATCCAACCCTCCCTCCCTCCTCCTTCCCTTTTCCCCTCTCTTTTTCCCTGCCTCCTCAAGGCACTGAGCAAGTGCAACGTTTTTCAAGGGTTTTCAAGTGGTTCAACCCTGTAGCATCAAGGAATGTCTTTCACTTGTTTTCATTTACCCACTTCAAGACTTTGTCAACAAAAGCAGCCTGGAGAAATGAAGAATTTAGGAAGTTTTACTCCCCGAATCAACGGGATTCCTACATAACTCCAATAAAGTGGGTCAGTGGTTACAGATAATTCTGGAGCAGGGCATTAGTACCTTTGAATCACACAATTTGCAGATGTATTAAAACTACTCATAAAGAAACAAGTTTTGCCCATGCTCAGTGCACAGCTGCCTGCAGGGCTTGTTCATGTAAACACAGCTCAGTTTAATTCCATTTTCAGCAAAACAATGCAGCAGAAAACCTCAAGCAAGCAATCTCCTCCAAAATGTTTCCAGGCATGATCTACTACTGTACTTTTTTGAAAAAAGACACCATCTGTACCATTACCAACCCAGTTACAGCCTGGCTTCCAACAGGACATTGCAAAGATCATAAATGCAAACTCTTCCAGAATATCCAAGAGCTTACGTGTTAATAACTCCATTGACAGGTCTTGGTGCTCCACAGGGCTTGGTGGGATGGGATTCAGGAGTATTTGCAGCAGAAATTCCCAAGCTTTCTAGGGGCTGGGATCCAGACACACCCTAAAGAAAGGTGAGAAAAAAAGAAGTAAATAAAAACTTTTTAAATAGCCACAATTAGTATAACTGGGTTCTGGTTGAGGATTCTGCACTGCAGCCATGGGTTTCCACACAGGACTTCAAAGCAGGGTTCAGAAGTCACTGCATGAACAGGAGAGCAGGGACACAAGGAGATCTTAGGGACAGCAAGAGCATGGGTACATGGCAGCTCTTTCATTGCAAGATCCAAAGGACTTTAATTCCCCTCAGGCAACCAGGAGCATGAAAGGCTGAGGGCTTTAAGGAGATTTCAGCATTTTGTCTCCATGGGGCAAACAAGTTCATCACCACCTGTAAAGCTCTGCAGGCTCTCCTGCAGTTTGGTTTCTGGTCTGAGCCAAAGCTGCTGCCGAAGCACTCTGGGGGAAAAGAGGGAGGGAGGGAGAGGGGAACTGACTTGCAAAACTGAATTTGCATTTTAACTTATACCTGTGCAAACAGAGTCCTAACAGCATTTCAGGGAGTGTTTTAAATGAGTGTGAACCCAGGCTGTGGGGTTGGGATGGGAGCAGGGCGAGTCTGTAACTCTGAAAGTGCTGCATAAACACAAAGCTGGAAACACCTTTTTGGTAGAGCAAAGTGAGTAAAAATTGAGTTAAAAACACTGTGCTCCCCAATCCCTTCTGCCTGAGGCTCTGCAGGGAGCAGCAGGATTGTCACCAAGCCTCCAAGGACACAGTGGCCTTGTACCTCCCACCAGTGACATCCCTGCTCCCCACCCTGCAGCCCACCAGTGTGTCCAAACCTCTGGCATCCATCACCTTCAGTCCCTCCCATGCAGCCCCCTGTTTCTGGTGTCAGACATGCTCCTCCCTGGGGTTAAACTCTATTTCTTCCTCTGTGTGGTACTTCCTACACTCCCTGCCCTGTCTCTCGCTGGGGTTCCCCCTTTGAGCACACACAGTGGTGATGTGGTTCAAGCACCAAGAAAAAAGGCAAAAGCAGAGCTCTGTCACCACACAGATGGTCAGGCAAGCCCCCTGCTTGGCCCTGACTCCATCCCAAACCCATCTGGACTGTGGTGATTAAATCTTCCCAGCAAACAGCCCCCAACTCAATAAACAACAAAGCCAGGCCATGGCACTGCTGGATTAACGGTTTCCAGAGGAGCAGACACCTGAGTCACCCCGGGAAGGGCCCTTTTCAACAACTCACCCAACCTCTGCCTGGGCCTGTTTGAGGAACTTTGCCGGGGTTTTTACACTTCTGCTAAAAGAGATGTTTCTCCTATGGGGGAACTAAGACAGGATGAGACCAACTCTGCCATACAGAGATGGAGGAGCAAGATCAGCTCACACCTGAGACATCAGGTAAACCCAGCAGCCCAGCCAGGTGAAGTCATGCAGGAGCTGAGCACTTTCCCTCTGCTTTCCAGAGCCTTGGCAGGGCTGAGCCTGCACGTGACACCCGCCGGAGGCACCCCTGGCGCAGCAGGGCGGGTACTCATGACTCATAAGCTCTTTTGAAATCCTTCATTTTCTTCTACAGAAAGGGTCTTAAAGGAGGAACTTCTTCCCCAAGAGTTTGCTCTGTCTTGGTGGTTCAAGATAGGAACAGAGGGACTCAGCTTCCTGTGGAGAAGCTGGAAAGATCAATCCAATGTGTATTTATCAGGAGCAGCCCAGGCTCCCTTTATCACCCTGGGATGGGTGTAGCAGAGCCAACACCTCCTGCACTCTCACTCTTTGCCAGCTCCTGGTGCACCTCCCAAGGCTGTGCTGTCCTCCAGGGCTGCCTGGGATCCAGAGCAGCATCCACAGCACCAGGGTCACACCCTGCTCCTGACTGAGCTCCTCTGTGAACTTTGGGTCTGCAAGTCCAGGTCCTTTGGATCCCTGGGAATCTTGGAGGGCGTGGGAGATTCAATTGTAGCACATCTGCTGTTGCACATCAGGGCAGCAAAGCAGCTGTGTGCAGGCAGGTCATGAGACAACAGCAGGAATGTCCCCTGGATTCCCAAAAAACCCTAACAAAAGCAGGCAGGTTCAGACCTTCACCTGTCATTAGAAATATTTAATTAGGGGGCAATATCAAGGGAAGCCCTTCACTAGACAAGCAATCCAAGGAACCAAAATCAACCGCCTAGTAATGTCTTCAGGGCTTCGTGTCATTTCCATCTTCAGACAGAACTATTTATTCACCTACTGAGCTTCCATTTCCCACAAGATATTCCCAGGCCTTATTTGCAAAGCCCTTCCCTCCACTGGTGATAGGATTAGTTCCTCTGGGGATTATCAGCCCCATCCCACGTAGGAAGGCGATGCCCAAGGACACGGATCCGAGGCACTCACGGGAGGAGGAGATCCAGGGGAGCTGGGCATGAGACAGGATGGATTCCTCCCTCTGCACATGTGTCTGTAACTCTTACAGTTTGGGGGAAAGGCCTGGAGGGTGCCAAAATGATAAGCAGCTCTCCAGGAAAGGCCCAGGAGATCCCTTTCCAGTAAGAGCCCTCAGTCTCTGGGTAATCTCTGGCTGGAGCAGATCAGGGCTCTGACTCAACAGCCTGCCCTAATGAGCAGCCCTAATTAAGCACAAAGCCAGGGGCTGGGTGCCGGAGGCGGCGGTTCCAGGGGTGACACTTCCAGCAGTGTCACAGACGAGCTGGGAGTGTGCAAGGAGAATAAACACCCTCTCCTTCCTTCCTAAGAAGGCACACAGGGCTGCAGGAGGGGCCACAACAAAGTGCCAAATAGAACCTGCACAAGTTTCAGGGACCACAAGTTGCAAACCCTCCATTTTAATGCATTGCTGCATCCCCCAGGATCCAAAGCAATCACAGGCAGGATGAACAGTACGATCAAGCCTTCAGTCTGTGCCCTACATTTCTGTATTAAATAATAAATACCTGGCACTCTGCATAGTTTCCAGTGCATCTCACTGCAATCATTAGTGCCCTTTCCAAGGGGGAATGCTCAGATGCTCAGGCAGATATTAAATAGCCACATCTTTAGCAGCCTTTGCTAATCATGCTGCTCTCAGTTTGAGGTACTTTTTTTGCTGGAGGGAACGGATTAGTTAGGATTTTAAAGCTTCACAAAATGCTAATGCATATTACAAAGGTACCCCCAGGAACTCTGTTCTAAAAGGTGTTTAAATCCTATTGTTTATTAACCCCAAAACAACACAGGAGGGGGTGAGCTCAGACCAAGACCAGTGATTCCCCCCTGGAGTCACAGAGAGGAGCTGCTCATGAGCCCAGTGCCATGGTTGGAGCATCCTGTGCCCCAGAGCTTGAGGGATGAGCTCTCCCTCCCCAGACTGGAGCCCTCAGCCCCACGCTGGCACTTACCAGGCGCTCAGCCCCAGGCTCCAGCCTGACTTCAGCTCTAACAGGACGGGAGGAATCATCTACTGCAGGGTCAGGGGGCGAAGCCTCACCAAGAACTATCAGCCCCTGCAAGAGAGGAACAGCAATGAACTGCAGATCCTTTGGTGATCACAGGGAAACTGCACCTTCATTGTCCCCCACGCTGAATTCCTTCCCACCACGGCTTCCAGATGTGATGCCAAAGCCAATCCCTGCTGCCTGGCCTTCCCTGGCATTTCAGCTGAACTCAGAGAGGGCTGGAGCCAGCTCGCAGCCTGTCCCCATCCTGCCCTCCCCTGCACAGGGGAAATTGCCACAGCCAAGCAAACAATTCTGAGCTGCTGATGGAAACGAACCACCTTGTTACTCTCAGCACACTTCCCCCTGCCCCTCAAAAAGTGATATTTACAAAAATTCAATAAAGAAAGAAAGACATTGCTATAAACTTGGTGGGACAAAGCACAGTGGCTGAGCATTGTTTTATCAGGTTTAACAGATGCTGTTCTGTTTCTGTTTAACTGAGTCTTAACCTAAAGGCAGGACTGCTTTGCTCTCAGAACACAAAGTGAAATAAAATCATTGTAATTATGCATATTCTGGGCTATATTATTATAACAAAGCAGGGCAAAATGTGCAAGGGATCAGGGAGTTGATGGAACCTATCAAACAGAGCCCAGGACAAGGACAAGCCCCAGGGAGCAGCATCTGGTCAAAGAAGGAACTGTGAAGGGGCTGCTCAGACCAAGAACAGGCAGATCATCATTCTGGAGGCTGCACAATGTGTCACAGCAAAGTGAGCCTGGAGGGAACCTGGGCACGTTATCTGCAGAGAGGACACAGCCACAAGGCCTCCCTGCTATTTTTAAGTGCCTGCAAACAGGGTATTCCACAAGCAGCTCTGAGCACACGCTCCCTGATTTGGTGTTTTCCTCCCCTTCTCACCAACTGAGCTGATGTGAATGTGCTGAGAGCACAATTCCTGCTGAGAATCCCAGGCAGCAGTTTACCCTCAAAACACAGGGTTATTTTTGACTGCCTCGTCCTTCCCTTGCTTTGATCTGACACAGCAATGTGTCTTTCTTGACGGGTACACTGGGATGTAAACTCTAACATATAAAGGTAATTAAACTAAAAAAAGAATGTAATAAAATTTCTCTGAACTTTAGAACTTGGAGAACTCTGAATTCCTGCAGCAGCTACATTTTAACCTCCTTATGGCCCAATAAACTGGAGTTAAGTTCTATTGACAGAAAAAACAAGGTGTTTCCAAATTCTTTAACTGTTTTCCTTGTACAATTTGAAGCCAAATCCATTCCAACAAGCTCCTGTGTTACTGAAACACAGGGCTGTTTCTCCAGTCTCCTATTCTTGTTCCAAGCCCTTTTAAGATGGTCTGTAGTTTTTCACTGGTGCAAACAGAATCTGTTTTACAACATCCCAGAGCTCAATGACATCAAGATAACGACAGCTGGGTGCAAGAATAATCTCCAGCAAGCTCTATCAGAGATGGGGTAGTGATACTCATGGTTCTGGATTTTTCTTCTTCAGGCAGAACAGCCACTACCCAAAACTCACAAGTTCCGAATGCCCCTGCACCTTAAGCAACATGTTTTCTCTTAAATTCATGTATTGGGGTACCACAGGTGAGTTTTGGTTTGAACAAATCAGAGAGGATGATCCTGTTGGCCAGAACCTCCTTTCAGACCTTGAAGCTGCAGCCTTATAAAAGCCCAGGGGATGTTTGTAATCATTATCAGGCCATTTCATGAGCTGCCATCACCTGGTGAAAGCCCTGAACCTTCCCCATCATTACATGAGTTTTCTCATTTTTTAAGTTCTAGCATATAAACCTTCAGCTATTTTGTATTTTGTACTAAAAACCACGCTGCACTGTCAGCTCTAAGACAGAAGGAAGATGACTCTTTCTGAAGAATCATTCATTTGCCCACTTCCCAGAAGCCTTCTGCCCTAATCTCAGTAATGGATTCTGCTCACAAGCCATGCTCTTCCACCTACTCATTTAGAGCCCTCACTCACTCATTCAATTAAGCCTGTTTTCCTGCACAGCTGCATCAAAGTCCAGCCTCCCTGCCCTGCTTTCCACCCCCTGGAAGCCTCTCCCCACCACCCCAGAGCAGCACACATCTTGGGAAAGGCGTTTGCCAGGCTGAATTCCTGAGCATCTCTCAGTTGATGCAATACCAGGAGCCTTCTTGCCACAAACTCCAGACATTCCTTCCTCCAAGGCCTGACATTTAGATGTGCATGCCTGGACAAGTCTCCATAACAATCCCTTCCTCGTCCCTTCTCTGCTCTCCCCCATTCTCCCACCATCTGAGAGCAATGCTAAAAAAAATACCTTCCACAGAGAAAGGTCAGCACCAAAAAATGATCTTTTTTTAAGGAACAGAGTCAATTTTAAGCTTGTTCAGATAGCATCTGAACTAACTTCCTCCACAGGCCACTCCCTTTTCCACTAAATCTCAGCTGTTTTTATCCCCATCCTCAGCTACTCCCAGAAAGAAAATGGGAAGGTTTTAAAAAATATCAGAGAGAAAGGCTTGAGTGATGGGGAACAGCATCACACATGCAACAGCACCAAAGACTGACTCTAAAGCAAGGTACTGCTCCCTTCACGTTATCATGCTGAACCAGGGACAGGAATTACACTCAGCCCATGCCAAATTGCATTACAATTAGTCACAGCTTTGCAATCTGCTTTGGGAGAGAGGCAGGAGGGAAAAGCATCAGACCTCACATCTGCACTCTCTGGTGTCAGAGGGAGGCATCGGGAGGCAAAGCAGAAGCACAGTGGCCAAAGGCCTCCTGCCCCATCCCATCCTGCCCTATCCTGCTCCATTCCTGCCCTGTCCTGTTCCATTCCTGCCCTGTCCTGCCCCATCCTGCTCTATACTTGCTCCATCCTGTCCCATCCTGCTCCATTTCCTGCCCCATCCCTGTCCCATTCTATCCCAACCTGCTCAATCCAATCCCATCTTGCTCTATCCTGCTCCATCCCTGCTCCACCCCTGCTCCATCCTCCTCTGTTCCTGCCCCATCCTGCTCCATTCCTACCCCATCCCATCCTGCTTTATCCTGCTCCATTCCTGCCCCATCCTCCTCCATTCCTGCCCCATTCTGCCCTATCCTGCTCCATTCCATTCCATTCCATTCCATTCCATTCCATTCCATTCCATTCCATTCCATTCCATTCCACTCCACTCCACTCCATGCCACTCCATTCCATTCTGCCCCATCCTCCTCCATTCCTGCCCCATTCTGCCCTA